ATGTGGCTCACAACACAAATTTTTTCCATAATATTCCAGACAACTTTGATTCAAAGCACTCTTAAGTTTTATATCTTCTCCACTATCTCCAATATTAGAGAAAGTCACCACATCCATTTATCTTTTGTTCATATACGTTGTCCCTAAACGCAACCACCATTTCTAGCAACATTTCTATACCCTTAAAATTTCACCAATTGTCCCTCTCTGGGAATCCATCATATCACAAATAGTATTATAATTGAAGTCCACTAAACTATCATTAACATCACAATTTCTTTTTTTTTTTTTTTAAGATTTATTTATTTATTTATACAAGCACTGGGTACAGTCAGAAGGGCGGGAGAGTGAGAGAATTCACCAGAGCCAGAGCAGGAAGCAGAACAGACAGATCGATGAAGTACACTGCTGAGGGGAGCAGTGGGCAGCAGGAGAAGTCTGCGTGCCATGTGGGACCCTTGCCCGGCAGCCAGGGATTGAACCGGTGCTGCAGAAGCTGTGGGCAGCCTCTCAACCCAGCGCTCAACCGCTGTGTCACTGGGGAGGCCCAACATCACAATTTCTTAAGGAAAGAGATATTTAAAACTTTTATACTTGATTGAGTACAGTAAGTTACAGAGTAGATAATTAACATCATTATGACAATATATAGTTTTAAAAATACTTTTAAAAATACTTTTAAAAATACACTAATTTTACTTGTTAGTAAAACCTTAAGGGAGGAGTAAAATAGATGTTCCTACCCTCATTTCTCACTACACACAAAAAAAGATGAAATGTAACTTGCAGGCTTGCGTTTTATCTCAAAATTTGATGCAATTTCCATTAAATTTTATCAAATAAGATAAATTCTAGGTTAGATCCCCATAATAAATAATTTCCATCCCAATGTCATGGTTTTGACAGATAAGTTTCTTCAGACAAGCATCCATTATTCAAATATTAATTTAAATGTGTAATGTATATTCAAAGGAACCAGAAAAGAGTCACCAAAGATATACAGATCTGCTCAAAATCTTATATTACGGTCATAGTTACTTATATCAAATGGTTTCCCATCAGAAATTGTGTTCTGCTGTTTGAATAATTTAAGTGTATTATAAAAGGACTTGTGATAAGCATTTTCAATATCAATCTGCTACTTTACCAACTTTTCTACTTTTTAAATTTTGTTTTGTTTTGATCAGAACATTTTCTATCAAAGCTCAGTCATTATGCTGATTTTGAACTTCCTCAACTAAGTAGCAGGCACTCCAATAAAAGGTCACCACCCACCCTCATGACTTAATGAGTTTTATAAAGGAAGGAAATATATTCTTCCAAGATTCCACAGGCATGTCCTTGTATTTGCTTTGCTTTTTCTCATGGTTAGTACAGACCTTGTATTTTCTCTCTTAAAGTCTATCAGAAAAACGCTAACCATATTTAACAAAAATGCTCAAAAGCATTAAATTATCCACTGTGTATTGTATATCTATTGAGACTTCTGGACAGCTAGTCAATGCAATTAATTTTATACATTATCTGGACATTTCATTCATCTCTAAATAAGTTGATTCTAGTAGATTAATTCTAAGACTTTAGCTCTAACACTATGCTACCTTAAGATAACACATTTTCATATTGCAATACAAATATTTTGGACTTACTGGTTTTCAGTTAGAACATAAGGTTGGTCATAGCAAGCAGAATGCAATAGTTCTTTTTTCAGGTTACATTTACAGAGATAAATTATCCAGAAAAAAATTATTCACCTCTATATATTATTATGGTCCATATCTGTTTGCATAGTTAAAGTGAGCCACTACTCTTTGCTTATGCTTTAAGTTGACTGTCTCATAGTATAACAAGGGGGATGAGAAGGGGCTTTTACACTGTATAAAATAAGTGTTACACAAGTCAAGAGAATATTAGTTCCTTAATACCTGTTTAGACCCAGAGTCCTTGTCCTGTCCCCGATATGGGTTTGATACTCTAAACTTGTCATTTTCCTTCTGCATGATACTCTCCTACCATGTATCAATTTGAAACTGATTCACTTTTAGAGCATACATTTATTTCTTTTATTTCTTTTCTCTCAGTTTTAGCAGTCTATAGAGTGTCCTGTGCCAGATTTCATAGTTTTTTTTTTTTTTTTCATTATATCTGCACTATGTTCAGTGCCCCATGAGCATGAAGGCCATCTTTTCTCTTGTAATCAGTTTCTACTGAGAGATGGGCAATTTCAAATCCCTCATCAATTTTATCTATTTCTCTTTATTTAACTCGAGTTTCTGCTCACTCTGGTCTGCTTGATATATGTTAGGATCACATTCATTCTTTAGAAATATCTCTGAGTTCTAACCAAGAAAAACAAATCCATAATGTAACTTTAGATAGAAGAATATCAAGGTTTTGCCTTGATATGGTGAGGTCCAATAACTATCAAATTTAAGGTTCTTTAATAAGGCAGATTGGAAAAAAAAACAAGCCAAACAAAAAAGTATAACTTTAAGTCCAAAAATATTAAGCAACCGTATTTCCCTTTTCTTTCCACAAAGTCAAGATATTCTGACCCACCTAAGTGGAATACGAACTTTCAGAGAATTTCTGCTAAACATTCATTCAGCATCCTGTAGTACAAAAGGGTTTGATTTCTGAAGACTGCCCTTGGTATCAAGAAATTCATAATAGAGAGAAAGCTAGTTAATATTTTACAACACAATACGCTTTTACCCTACTGAAGACATCCAATGTAAGCCTGTTTTTAATAGGCAAAGTATGTACTGACCAACTTAAACTTAATATTTCCTTCAGCTCAACTAAATAAACTTTAGACAGGTTTCTTCACGACTACATACACTTGGTCTACTTCTTAATACATTTAACATAAAATTGTAATTTTTTTCCATGTACCTCTAATCTCAGAATCTTTCCCAATTTACATTAAAAAGATGTCCTTCCCAAAGACATGGAAGCCATTCCTTAAAATGTAATCATCAAGAAAAGATCCCTAATTTCTTAGGTTTTGTGATAGGTAGGCAGGCAGGAGCTTGACATTGATAAACTGCAATTAACACTGATGGTATAATCACAATGACCTGGAATAATTTCTATTAGCTCACTCCATTGCCTAATATTTACCTGCATTTTAGTTCAGCTATATTGAGTTCAATCTCTCTCCACTATTACAATAATCCTGATCTTTACTGCAGTAATCCAGAGCAATTTTTGACAATATTTATCCCTCTTTGGTAAGAAATCATTTAATGAATGGTGCTAGAAACTGAAAGGATTCAACCCCCTCTTCCATCTCTATGGAGGGAAGGTAGGACAAATACAGGTTTTGTGAAAACAGGGAGAAACAGAATGATCTTTTCTCCCCACAACTCCCCAAAAATTTATGCATACTTATATTACTAGAGTAGAACATAATCAGAATGTTCTTAAATATGAAGGAAAGCATGGTGAGAAATTAAAGATTCATGAAATCTGTAGAATATTTTAAATTTTATTGGTTTTTGGGTAGCAATTCAGCTGGGTACATGGTTTCCAACATTAAATATTTCAGGAATTTGAAAGAGAAAATTCATAGGGAAAAGGGATTCAGATCTTTTTTGTAGTACCAGAGATCAGTACTAAGACTAGTGTCTACAAGTTAAAATTAAAAACATGTATCTGTTAAACAGAAAAAGAACTTTTAAATTCCTGAAATATTCAAAGATGGAATATGTCCTGAAGACTTAGAAGATAGTGAGTGTACCGTTCATGATATAAAGACAGTGATTTTGTGAAGTCTTGATTGAAGTGTTGAGGATTTCAACTTCCACAGGGGTATGCAGAAAGCAAGAAATGATTTTCTTTCTATTTATTTTATGTTGTAGAGAATTTAATATAAAATGTGAATAATGAACTTGTGTGGTATTTACAGGAACAGTACAGTATAAAAGATCTATTCTATCAATAAAATCAGTTAATAAGACGCACACAAACATGTTAATATGGACATGCAAAATATAAAAGTACTGTTAACACAAAACCAGAAGGCTGCATTACTGAGCATCTTTTGTTAGCAACGATAGTCCCTTCAAGGATGGAAAACATTTTTGTAACACTGCATCCTTTATGGTCATTAATAGTCTTTTAGTTGTAAATTCTGCATCTCAAAATTCTTCACTTTGCTTTCTTAACTGCAGCTTTCACCTCTAAGCTAGATTAGGCTATATATCATAGAAAACATAAAGTAGACCAATGACCTTAAGAAACTCAGAAATAGTTGAATCTTTGATTTTCAACATAGATTAAAAATAGAACGACTTCAGATGTCCCTGTTGAATGACTCCTCTGGGAAGATCAGTCTGTGGCTATTGTGATTTGTTCATGATGGAGCTGTAAGGAGATTGTCAATTACCATGTAGAATATGATTTGCAGAAACCTCTGAAAATATTTAATAGCCTCAGCAGCTGAGTATACAATTACCAAGTATTTCCTGGTCACCCAATACAAGTGGTCAATACTACAGTGACCTAAAATGAAGGCTCAAGGCAAGGATCTAAAACCAAGCCAATCAAAATTCTAAAATGCATGTGTTCTTGAGATCCACAGACATAGACTTGTCCTGTAAATAGACATTCATTCATTCCCTCCCTGACTTCCAGTGGTTGGGGAGGGCTGATGAAACACACTGACATTTTAAACACTAGATGAGGTGGGCAAAAACTGAAAGCATATGTATCATGGATGATACATGTCAACATCTATGTCAGAGACTCACTTTTCATGAATTGGTTATTCTCTACATGACACTATGAGAACATATAGTTATAAGACTGGTTTTAATATATCTAACTTCATGTAGTTTGCTAAGCAGAGAAGACTATCACCATGAAATAAAGGTGATAATTTTAGTGTGAAATATGCATGGCCTTGTGCTGATGTAAATAGGATGGCTTTCCATTTAAATAGTTGACTGATGTAATAAAGTTGATGTTTTATAAAACAAAACAAAACAGGTATACTTGCTTTGGTAGTACAAAAACTAGAATTCCACAACACACAATACAGGGATGATCAGTATGGCCCCGGTTCAAGGATGACAGGCACATTGAGGAAGGATTCCATATTTTTAAAAATAGAGGTTCAATAATTCCCCCACATAAACAGGTAGAAAAGAACTTAAGGCTTAAGGGTCTTGCCTAAATTTTTTCTCATTTACTTTTCTCAAAAATAAAAATGTTTCAATATAGACATCATCAATCATCATCAAGACTTAAAACAGAAAGGAATTATAAAGTGTTTTAAAAATAGACGATGAGATAATACATAGTAATGACAACATGAAGTAGAATATTCCCAGATTCTACAGAAATTCAATACATATGTCTCTTTCTGTGTTCTAAACAGTTACTTTTTCCTTCAGTAAACAATTCAGAACATGCAGTACTTTAGTTTAAATTTCTCTCTGCTCTGCTATTCTCAACTGTCTTAGCACTAGAACTTATGTTAAACTTAGGTGACAAACTGATTTCACTTGAGGATAAAAACCTTACTCTTCTTATCATAAAGAAACTCTCCTCTAATTATTTTGTGTTAAAATCAAAGAAGGATTGAAACTTTCAACATCTCCATCTCAGTAACAAGCAGGAATTTTTATCATTTTTTTCTACCCAGAGGCAGAAGCTGGTGGGAAAATTGTAAGATGTGCTAGGGGGGAAGAAGTTAAGGGGGAAAGAAGCTGCGGGGGGGGGGGGAGTAAGATTGGCTATAAAACCAATGTAAAAGTTCATGGTTTTCCTTAGAGCATATAATTTTCTCTTATTTAACAATTAAGCCTTTGAAGTTAGGTATAATAGCATTCATTGCATGATATCTTAGAAGCACTAATTAATTCTGAATGGATTTTCAAACTGCATTTTCTTACAACTTTGAATTGGAATTTCTAAAGATACTCAGAATTTATTTTTCAATTCACTGTCTAGCATAAAAAGCTGCTATTAATATATTTTGTAATAACTGAGTGTCCTTCTTATAACAAGGATATTGTCGCTGATAAATTAGGTTAGGTTCAAGTTTGAATTTAATTGACAATTGCTGGCATTTCTTTATGAAACTTCTTGTATGTGTGCATTTCCACCTCAAAATGAATGTGAATGCTTTGAAAACAAGGCTTATAGTATTTATGATAAAACTCTTTTGAGTTAATTACGACAGCATTTTAGATGTGGGAAGTGCATGCCCCCTTCTCTCTGCCAGAATGCCTGGTGAAACAGGACTCTGAGATTACACTAATGAGGGAAGAGGATGGCCAGGAAATACAATGAGATGCTCAAAATGCCTAAATTTTATTTGAGAAAGTAAAAGGGTGGGAAACCTGTGAGAGTTGACTATTGCCTTTGGGGTAGTCCTGAAGATTTAAGGATAATATAGACCCGAGTTGTCCATAAATAGTAGCCTTATATGGATGTTTAAATTTAAATTTAAATTTTAACTAAATTTTCATCAATTTAAATTTAAGTTTCTGCATTATACTAGCCACAATTTAATTGCTCAGTGGACTCATGTGGTTAGTGCTGCCATATTGAACAGAACTTATATAGGAGATGTTAACTATCACAAAAAGGTCTATTGGGCACCACTTACATAGACACATTTGAATAGTCTTTAAGTGATTAATCTCCTCCCCAATATTCAAAATACAGTTTTGCACACATTGCTTAAGCCCTTATATGAATGTTCTTGAGAGTCACAGAAAGACTTTCTAGAACAATAAAGGAGGTATTTTTTATTTCTCTGTGTTATTTCCTTCCAATAAAAATCTAATCATCCTCCTTCAAATTTTATAATTTTCCTTTTCTTGCTATTTCCCAAGTCCATATTTAGGTAAAAGATGTGCTTTCAGCCACTTACAATTTAGTGTTAATGCCTTCCTTCTTGCATCACTGACCCATTTCACTGTGTCTTTTATTTAAGAAGCATTTGCCATCGCATTGTGTATGAGATCCTATGTAAAGAAAGGAAGATTTTTCTAAAAGTCTTAATTAAAACAGGTATTTGTGCCAATGCCTATTTGCATATCAGGTATAAGTGCCAATGCCTTAGTTTAAAAAGGAAGCAGACAATCTTTAAGTGGAACCTGTCCATCAGTTGGACCTGCTCTTCATGCTGACACAGAGCACAGCTCACCACCAGCAAACTAGTAAGTTATTAATTCCTATCCTTTATTCATTCAGTAAACAGATATTTATTTACTAAGTGACAGACATTTGGTTAGTCAAGGAGTAAAAAGGAAATTGTTTCTGCATTTCAGGAGCTTGCAATCTAAGAGAAGAAAATATCCCCTTTAATCTAAGAGAAGAAAATATCCCCCTTGTAACTGAAACATGAAGTGATGGCATTATTTCCTCTTTATGTTTATATAGTGGGTACATATATTTGAATAAAATAATACATTATCACTCACAAACTGCTTATTAAGTTGCATATCCTATATGGAATATTTTACATGCAGAAACTGTTCTCAAAAATTCTATTTTGAGATACCATTTTACAAAAATGAGGGAAAAGCATATAATGTTTACATTACTGTTTCAAAATTATCTATTAAGTGAATGATTCTTGTGCAAACCCATTCATCTGATAAGACCAATGTCTATTCAGAACCATAGTGTATTAAGGATACTATGTTACTGAAATATGAAATAAAGTGCCAATGCCTATACTGATATTGTCAGGGAAGGCTTCAGAAAATGGGTACTGTATGAAAAGGATCTTGAAGGTGGATGGGATGCATTTTGAATGAGGAATTTGGGTGTAATACCAGCTAAAAGAAGGACATGTTTGAGGCATATGAAAAAATGTTCAACATCACTTGTCATCAGGGAAATGCAAATCAAAACTACCATGAGATACCATCTTACACCAGTGAGAATGGCACGTATTAAAAAAACTAACAACAACAAATGTTGGCGAGGATGTGGAGAAAAAGGAACTCTTCTGCACTGTTGGTGGGAGTGCAAACTTGTCCAACCACTATGGAGAGCTGTGTGGAGATTTCTGGACCTACTAAACATAGAGCTTCCATATGATCCAGCAATTCCACTCCTAGGTATTTACCCAAAGGACACAGAAACATCAATTCCAAAGAGCACCTGCACCCCTATGTTTATAGCAGCACTGTTTACAATAGCTAAGCTTTGGAAACAACCCAAATGCCCAAAAATAGATGACTGGATCAAGAAGATGTGGTACATATATACCATGGAATATTACTCAGCATTCAAAAAAGATAAACACATGCAATTTGCAGCAACATGGATGGCGCTGGAAGGGATCATGCTCAGCGAAATAAGCCAAAAAGAAAAAGAAAAATACCAGATGGTCTCACTCATAGCAGGAATCTAGAAAACTTAAACAAGGGACCAGGAAAATGAATAACTATAAGAAAGTGAAAATCAAAATCAACAAAAACTATGAACCAGAGACACTTTTTGGGGGGTGGGAGGTGGGAGGGGAGGCATTGGGGTCAGAATAGGGGGGTTGCAATTGTATGGGGAATATAAAAATAAAATTATTTTTAAAAAAAGGAAGGACATGTTTGTATAATCACAGGGACCTGAAAGAAAAATGAGTTACACATGAGGTTGCAAACTTGAGATAGAAAGGTAGTAAATGGGTTTTTCAGGCTAAGTACTTAATTTTGTAATTTATTGGCAACATTCTGAATGTCTTTTATATAGAGTTGTTACTGGTGAGCACTTCTCTCTCAGCTCTCTTCCTATAAAGCCAAGCTTACAATACCTCCCCTAAAGGTATCTGTGTTCCAAAGAACACCTGCACCCCTATGTTTATAGCAGCACTATTTACAATAGCTAAGCTTTGGAAACAGCCCAAATGCCCAAAAATAGATGACTGGATCAAGAAGATGTGGTACATATATACCATGGAATATTACTCAGCATTTAAGAAAGATAAACACATGCAATTTGCAGCAACATGGATGGCGCTGGAAGGGATCATGCTCAGCGAAATAAGCCAAAAAGAAAAAGAAAAAAAGACCGGATGGTCTCACTCATAGCAGGAGTCTAGAAAACTTAAATAAGGGACCAGGAAATTGAGTAACTATAAGAAAGTGAAAATCAAAATCAACAAAAAACTATGAACCAGAGACACTTTTTGGGGGGTGGGGGCCGGGAGGGGAGGGATTGGGGTCAGAATGGGGCTTGTGCAGTTGTATGGGGGAATATAAAAATAAAATTTATTATTTAAAAAAAAATAAAGGTATCTGTGTTTATATTTAGCACCCCCAACTTTTATGCCCACCAAGGGTAGTCCCTAAATCACCTAAGTATGATAGTCAGTAGGCTTATAGTTACAAACCCCACAGAGCTTTATAAAACAAAGATGCAGTTTTTAAGTGCCTGGTAATCCAACTTCTAATCAGTGCACATCTAGGTGCTGACTGCAATCACCCCTAACAGATCTTAACCTGAACTCAATCACTAGAGGCACTAAGAACAAAGATGGCAATTGAGCAATCAGACAGATGAGGAGAAACAAGATCGGAGGCTGGGATAATAATGAGATTCTCCTCCTACCTTCATAACACCAATCTGTCAAGAATGGGACAGTTGATGGTCATGTAATGCAAAGGAACCAATAGGAAATCAAAGAAAATGAAGAAATTGGTAGAGATAAAGAATAAGTGAACAAGAGATATAAAGAACAAGAAAATAAGATAAAGAAAAAAGTAAAAGATTACGATCCACAATTTGTTAAAAAAAAAAAAACAGGTAAGTCCTTTACCCAACAGTGAGTTCAAAATAATGGGTGATAAATATATCCACTAAGATCAGAACAGCAATGCAAGAACAATGTGAGAGCTTTAGCAAAGAGAAAGAAAACATTAAAAAGTACAAGAGAGAAATCGCACAGTTGAAGAAAAACTTTCTTAATGGCTGGATGGCAATCAATAACATTACATGTTAAAATACATATATGTATATAATATATGAATGATGCATAATGAAGAAACTGAAAAAATACTTATTTGCAACCACAGATTTACTGAGACATTGCCTACAATTTATCCACGGAAATATACCAATAAAGGAGACATATGCATGTATCCA